AAGAATGCCTCATATTAGAGCTGTGAAGAAACATGCTCTGTCTGAGCTTTGGACAAAAGGCTGGGATGAAACACTCCCTTAGAACAAACAAGTGTGGGTCTATTGTGGGAAGACTGAAAAACCAGGCTGGATTAAAGCAAAGACATTTGAGTGAAGAATTACAAATACCTGCTCCCCTACAATGACTTCTGAGCAACTGAATCTTAGCTGTCTTTGTCAAAGTATTCCCTAACCATTTTCTGTCTGAGAAAATTTCCAGCATACTTTCATTTTAAACAGTCTGTGCAGCATTTTTAAAGTCAAAGAACTTACAGATTAAACACAAATTATTTCAAATAACATACTCAGTTGTGAGTCCGTTCCAGCTCAGAATATTCCGTGATTCTGTTGATTTCCCAGATTGATTTCTTCCACTGAAAAATGAATACCTAATGCTGGATTATGTGCACAACTTTTTGTTACCCAAAAATGATTGTCCTGTACACTGACCTTTCAGAGCGATCATACGAGATGAATGTAATTACCTCTTATGTACTTAAAATTCACCAAATGCAGCAGTGCTGACTGTAAAAAGAATGATAATAGTAAATGTCATCATGCACTTTATAGAATTAATAGAAAAACATTTGTTCACGGCATGATAAATAGAGCAAAGATCACCTGAAGGTCTACTTTTCCTCATCAAATTTACTCACTACATTCTTCACCTATAAAACATTGCACCAATGTAATCACCACCAAAATGGCTTCTGTGAGCTAACGTTAGAAACACAGTTTGCTACTCAAAAAAGTAAAATGCTGGAACATGACAAAGCTGGTCAAAGAATAACACACAACAATATTACTAGTAATTCTTGCAGTAAATCACCACACTGACAAAACATCACTTTCCAGTGTTCTTCTGTAGCCAGAAATCACACATCTTCATAAGGCAAAAGCTTACTGTACCAACAATATGCAGATTGGTATTTGAATGGGTAAAGAAAAAGTTCATTTGGAGGGTGTGTTCTAGGATCACTGGTAGTCCTAAAAGTTAAAAGATTTTCCAATACTAAATAGGTGAAACTCATAAACCTGCCTATTTTTTTAATAGATTAGTAAAACTGCAACTAAAATAATAAAATACAGCAAATGTACTGTAATTCTGAATTATAACATTATCTTAGCGTTTCAGGTGATACTACTAATTCAGCTTTTGGAAATATACTTCTTTTGAGAATCTAGTGGTAAATGAGATTTGAAGAATTGTTTCCAGGAAATCATCGCACTTAAAGGCTTCATAATACAGTGAAACATACCATCTATTTAACTATATGATCATTAAAGTTCTTTTTCTAAAAGGTACTGTTTCCTTTGGGAGATTTTAAAATATTTTTTAGATAAAGTTGCCCAGCCTAAGCAAATGGCAGTGTCAAAGCATAGCCCTATAATGCCTATTTCTCTATGCACTGCAGCCGAAGATCACAAAAGTGTTTTCAGCTACTAGAATTACTGGTGTTCAAGAAATGAGGTCTGCTTAGATGCAGCTTTTGTTAAGAATTTTTACGATGGCAAAACCGGCGTGACAAAGAGATACCCGCAGTGACTGAATGCTATTCACTTACTTGAGACTGTCTGCACTGGTACAATAGCGTCCTCAAATTCAAACAGTCCGACGACGACTGAGCTGAGGTGTGCCCTGTGTGCCTCACTTGAAGTAACTGTTGCAGCTAAGAAATACTGACAAATTCTTCCGATCAGCATGTCACCTTCACCTAGAAAGAGGCAGGACACAACAGAAAAATGGGAAGGCATTTCCTGAAATGATGGGAAGGGTTCTCTAAACTCTCTCATCTAACTCCAAGAAACGAAACCACCTTAACTTGAATCAGCCAGTTCCCTCGGAAAAAGGAAGAAAGAAGGGGAAAAAAAACAAAAAAAAAAAAACAAAACAAAAAAAAAAAAAAAAAAAAAAAAAAAAAAAAAAAAAAAAAAAAAAAAAAAACAAAAAAAAAAACAAAAAAAAAAAAAAAAACAAAAAAAACCCACACAAAAACCAAACAACACAAACCCCCAGAAAAAAAAAAAAAAAAGGAGAGAAAAAATTTTTAAAAAGGGGGGGGCGGGGAGGGGGGGGGCAGAGGAAAGCAGAGAGAGAGGGAAAAAAACCCCAAACAAACAAAAAAAACCCCACCTAAAACAACCAGGCTGATTCCTCTGTCGGTGCGACATCGGCTCCGCCGCAACAGGTATTACCGCTAGTCCGCCGCCACAAGCAGGGCGTGTATAACCCGCTCAAAAACATCTCCTTTAAAGAACCCTTGTTTGAGACGGTTCTCAAAAAAAAAAAAAAGGTCTGACCGGGACTTCCAATCCTGTGGAATAACCACATCCCCAACCGCATCAGCCCGCCCGTACCTTGTCGCCGCCTCCCGCCACCGCCGCGGCCCCGAAGTGCCGACAATGAACCGCTTTCAGACGTGGCCGAGGCGGCGGAGCAGCAGGAGGAGCCCGAGGAGCCGATCGGCCCCGCCCCCGGAGCATCCCCGGGCAAAGGCACAGCCCGGCAGAGGCGGAGCGCCGGCCTGCCCCGCGCAGCACGAGTGGGGCCGGCCGGGCAGTGGCGCCTCCTCGCAGCCAGGCACGGGGGTCCCGCAAGCGCCAACCCCGCAGGGTCCCGGCTGGCTCGCCGAAACCGGCTCGTGGCAACACCGCCTGGCCGGCGCAGCAGCCAGCGCCCCGCCACCTCTCCTCCGCGGGCTGCCGCGTGCCTCGCGCTTTCCTGTCGCAGCAGCCCCCTCTTTCCGGCCCCCGCCTCCCTCCATCCCGGCCCAGCACCCCCAGGCGAACAGAGCTCGGCGCGGCCGCGTCCCGCTCGCCTCGTGCGAGTAGAACGAGAGGATAATGCCCCCTGCAAAACGGGCTGCTTGGTGAGTTAGAAAGCAGCGAGGTGGTTTCTTTTTCCCTAGTTTCACGTCTTAAAACACTCCCGAAGCATGGCTCTTACACGGCCATGTTCCCACATCAGTTTATGCATAGGACTTTCAACTTAAACCTTGATTAATCCTAGCGAGCCACCATGTTCTTTCTCAATGCAGAGCATTTAGATTGTTCTGTCATATGTATACAGAGATCTGTGTAGTAGCACTGTGGTGCATGGTAGTGGTTTTGACTTTGTGTTGCTTAGTAAGCTGAAGGAAGAGTCCTTGCAGATAGCTTTCTGAGAAAGGCTCTTCCTTCCTAAACCTCTTCTAATGCTGGTTGCAGTGGATCCTCAGGTATATATTTTTCCCATGTAGTTCAGTTTGTTGCTTAAGCTATAAAATCTTGCTTTTTTTTCTATTGCTTGGTTACTTAGAAAAGTAGAATGTCTCTTCAAGCTCGAGAAAGGAGTCAGAACTATGAACCAAGAACTACAGTCAGTATAAAAAGTCATCCAGGAAGTGACCATAGCAGAGGTATCACAGAGTTTTTTTCCCTGCTGTGGTAACATCTGCCTTTACAGCTCCTTTTACCCTGCATTCAGTTATTAGTCCCAGTCATGAAACACCTCTTTGACAAGAAATGGAGGGATGGCTTCAGGTCATATTAAACAATTACATGCCACCTGCAAGTAAATAACTCTTTTGATTGCCTCCTTTTAATGTATATTAATTTATATAAAATTTAGTTATTTGCTTACATTACTGTAGAGGATTTTTTCCAGTTTTCTCCATCTAAAGGAAAAGAGAACATTAAGGTTATTTTTGTCTCTATTTCTGGAACTAGACCCGATCTCCGTTTCTTATTTCCCATGCATTCACTGAACTGTTGCTCTCAGCAGCATCACTTGTTCTAACTTAATGTGAAAGGCTACAACAGGAGAGAAAAGTGAGAGAGGGATTAATGGAGTCTCCCAGTACTGTGGCTTTCGAGCATTAGTCTCTTCCACATTTCTGTCGCTAAACAGACTTCTGTTCAGCTTGGAGGAAGATTCTTATGCATTCCATTTTTGTGGGAGTAGAACATTCAAACCCTTAAATTGCAGTCCTGTAGTCTCTCCAGCGATTTCTACCCCTTGCTCATGTCCACTTTGATGCTTGTGCAGATACATACCAAGTTCAGTCAGGGAACTCACTTGTCTGGAAAAGTGATTATATATTTGGTAAAGATCATCTTCACCACAATTAACTCCCTGAATTAACTCATGCAGTCACACAAGCACCATTACTGCTGCAAGGGAGAGCATACCAAACGTACACCAGCTTGAGACATGGAGGAAACAAGCTCACAGTCCCCTTCTTTCATGCTGTGCAGTGGCTAGAAGCACAAAAAAGCAGTAGACAGTTGCTTTGACTCTGGAGATGTTGATGCAAAGCCAGTTATCAGTAGCCTACATAGAGACTTCAAAGATCCAAGAGCAAACTGGAGATTTCTGAAAAAGGTAGCTCTCCCAACTGCCAAGATGTTGAATTCTAGAGGATGATGGCCAAAAGGTGGCATATGCTCAGCTGCTCTTTCATATTTCTTAGGTGCACCGTGTCTTAATAGTTCAAGAGAACCAAAGGCACTTGGGATTTTTTGCAGAATTCTAGCATCTAGAATTGTTTTAAATTCTGTCCTGCCATAACACTGCTTTGCTAGAATTCATTCTTTAACACAAAACTGAAAACATGATGGAAATTTTGTTGTCTTCTCTTGTAGGCTTGTCTAGCATAAAAAGTAAGCCCAGAAAAAGAAGATAAAATAATCTTCCCTATGACCACCACCATCAAGAATGAGGGACAGTCTTTCAATGTCTACCAGGTGATTATAATTTTTATCTGTTCTAAACTATTTAAGCTCTGAAGGTAATTATTCACTTGCTTTGAAACTCTGAGGCTTCCCTGGTAGAATTTTTTGCTAGTTTTCTTTCAATAGATACAAGGATTCTCTGTTTTACTATTCACAATTCACAATTAATGGTTGGGTGCTACAGTAATAATACCAGTAGTAAATGGTTGTGCAAATTTTGCACACACTATCACCCAAAACCTGATTTCTCACATCAACCTTGAATTTATTCATCATCCAATTTAATAATTAAATTGGTATGTATAGCCACAGTTACAGAAGTGCATCTCTGACCTTAACTCATCCATGCAGTTTTTCACCTCATGGTGCAGATACATGCATGTATACATAACTCTCGACAACTCTAAGACTGCAGTGCATTGATTTACAAGAAGTAAAAACAGTTAATGTTGTTACTTTTAGCATATTATTTTCAGTTTTCAAGGTGGTTTTTGATGAATGTTCCAGTTACAAAAAAATAACTAGGCTCTTTTTTACTGTCAAAAATATAAACTTTTCCAGCTCCAAGGCAGTGTTCCTAAAGAAATTAGATGAATGAACATGTATTTTAAAAAGGATGCACAAACAGAGCATACTTGGAACATACATACTTGGAACATACCTACAAAATTTTGATCTTCTGAAGTAAGAAGTGTATAGAGAAGAAAATCAGGTAACTATTTTTGAATGGCATTTCTATAAATTCTTCTCAGGCATCTCTTCAGGACTGGTGCTGTTTGTAGGACAGTACTGGAGATACAGGCAGAACTGGTGATACTGGAATTGTAGTCAACACCTGATTCTGGAACAAAAATGTCTTAATCCTCCCGAACACCCAAAGAAAGATAAGGAGGATGCTGACATACTGGATCCAGGCAAATTTAATAATTTCCCAGAATCCTGGCTGATATGTAAAGAAAGTCAAGGAGCGTTAATAGAGAACCTTCTAATGCTGCCATTGCAATATCTAAACAAGGAAACTCCTAGGCACAAACCTTGTTAAGGCATTGGTTTGTGTCACAAATGCTAAGCCTCTGAACCATAGAAACACCTAAAAGCCTTCTACCACGGTAGGTAACAAAAGCTGGAGAGAACGTCTGTCCTAGAAGACATTTAAACCAATTCTGGGTAAAGTACCTACTTTGTGCCTGAGTCATCAGGAAGTACTTATTGTTAATATTCAGGCAGGTAAACAAATCTTGTAAGAAGTGTGCTCCATACAGATTCTTCTAAATACAGACTTGTTCTTGTCTACAAAAAAGAACGAAGAATATAATGAATGAAGAATTACTTTTTCAAAAGAAAAAAATTCTGGTCTGTCTGCACATGAACAGATGTAACAACCTTCCACTGCGGGAGTTATTATTTGGTGGGATGATGTTGCATACAGATTTCTAATCATTTGCTTTAGGTCACAGACTACAGTGTCATGCTTTGTGAGTGGCATCTGTGACAGATCAGGACAGCAGGTACTGCAGAACCCAAAGCAAGATGTACTACAAATATTCCCTGACAATAGCTAACAAACTGCTGTAAAGGCCTTTTTAGCAAAGCTGAAAAGCAACACAGGTTACCAATGGGTAAGAAAGGCAAAAAGTGGTTATAAAGGCACAACCATCTGAAGGAATGGACAAATAGGTATTTCATCAACTCCAGAACTGTAGCACTTGCTTAGCTAACCAAAAAAAAAAAAAAAAAAAAGGAAAAAAAAAAAAGTTTAGCAACATTGTGGTTGAGGCTCAAATATCATAACCCTGTTACGTCACAGTTTGTGCAGTTTTTGAAGGATATAAGATAACTTCCACTGGATAATGAATGGTGGCATTAATGATAAATGGTGTATCTGTTGCTCTTCCAGTCATCCAAACAGGGCTGGGATCTGAAAAGACTGTTGTCACTATAACGGAGAAAGGAAAAGTCCAGGTTAAGGAGCTCTTAGGTATTAATACAGAAGTCATATACTTCACAAAACAGCTGCCAATATGCTAACTCCTACTGTCCTGTAGCTACACATTCAGGCTTACCATTTCTATCCCAATATGCTGCAATGATGTTTGCTAGATCATAGTCACTTGCAAAAGGACTTGTGCCATTGACCACAGACACCTGTTACAACAAGGAGACACTTTAAGTATTTGTCCAGTCTTCAAGACAGTAATTTTACCGAGTTTCTTACACAAAGTAACCATGCCCTTCAAGTAATGAACATAAACATCAGACTGAACATTTCAGCAGAATAACCTCTTCCCTCTTGTAGTCTTAACAAGAGAACACCAGTTCCAAAGTCTTACAGTTCACTCTGTGCAGAAGTACAAATAATTAGGGTGTCACCTAGGATACTAGGCGGATTAATAGGCTGGGGGGGTGAATTGATGGGGAAGTGAAAAACATTTCCTCACATTGTATCTGGTATCCAGTCCACAGTGGTTAAGTAATTGCCTCTGGTTTAATTTCAAGTCTCCATTCACATAGAGCTGAGACCCTGGCACAGGAGAAAAAAACTGAAGAAAAGCCATGCTCTGCATCACAAATGTTGACATTCTCTGAAATAGTGAACACAAAAAAGGAAAATTTAGCAGGGGGAGGAGGGACACAACACACTTTTCTATCTCTTGGTATCTACACATTTTTCTACATGGATTTGATTTTTATAGGACTCCCAAGTCTCAGAACATCACCTTAGTCTAAACAAGAGACCACCAAATAAAAAATACCTTTTTTTTTTTTTTTAAGTGAACTACCTTAGTTAATAGTTAACTAACTTTATTATCTCACCAAAATTCCACAGGAAATTCAGTGAAGTCCAATGTCTTTGGCCAGTAACAGAAAGTTTTGACTAGCCATAACATGTAAAAAGCAGCAAGGTATCTAAACACATTAATTGGAGACACTTTAAAAGAACTCAGCAGTCAAAATCAAGGACTTGTACTCTGCAACAAGAACCAAATAAAGAAGGTAGGTCCTTAGCTCTTATCAGCCACTCAGTCTGAAGGAAAATTTCCACATTTACAGTGGGATAAAAAAAAGTGTTGTGAATATCCTAACTCTCTGTCATACTAATACCTGACCAAATACTTCAGCCCAAATTTAAGACTGTTGGGCCTTTATTCTGCGCCTCAGGCTTAAGAATGTTTTCTACACCACATAGCTATACTTGCTAAGCTTGTCCATCTGCAATCAGCAAGACTCTCTAAAGAAACAGCCTAATCTCCCTAGGAAAGCAACTTTTTGTATGTGTGACTGCACCCAACACAGCTCTGTATTATTGCTCCTATTAGATGTATCCCTGGGTTCTCTGTGTGCTGGTGGTTTACTCTTTGCTTTAGGTATTCATTGCACTCCCATTTGAGGTACAATGGCAGTAGAATTGCATTGTCTTGTCTTCCTATAATGCTTTCTTGTCCCAGTTACAAGATACAGAGGATCCTGGCAGATGATTATCGATGCTTCAAGAGCTGTTAAGCAAAATCTAAGGAGTTTTAGGCTGTTGCAACAGCCTGACTCTCCAACTCAGAAAATGAACTGGTTATGTCAAGACACAGCAGTGTGTAGGAATGCACATCCTTCTTCCTATTGCAAGGATTTCAGTTATTTTCAGGTGCCACCCACACTGATACTCACTGTTGGGCTGTATGTTGCAGCCATACTACAGCCCAACAGAATACAGAGCTTATCAATATTAAAAACACAAAACAAGACCCTAACAAAGTGTATCAAAATACGCAAGACAGCTAGACTAGGAACGACACAGCAGAGGAGGAGAAAATTAAATATTTTTCAGTAAAATACGTATTTTAGATAGGAATTTCAAATGCGGAAGGTTTCTTTTCATGTTTTGTATAACCACTACTGGAATTTTACAATGGGTCTATACATCACAACAAACAAAACTAAAAATGCTCACATAAAGCTGGTAGGAAAAGAGTAGAATCAGCTGAACACCAACTACATGCTCTGTTGGTTGTAATGGAAGTTCCAGTTTAAAATGCAGCTGATCCATTTTGCCGTCTTGGTTTTTGTCTTCTTCTCTAGTCTAAACAAATTTTTTTTAAAGACAGGAATTTCTGTTAGAAAGAAAAACAAAAAAAAGTAAAACCCCAGGGGACCCTACAACTGCAGCATGCACATACCAAGGAAGCAAATAAACTGCATAGTTAGGAATGCAATAAAAAGCTACTTGACTATTTACAGACAGAAGACTAGAGACAAACAAAAAGCCAACACTGTCATCTGTTATGCAAGGTCTCATGCACCCTTCCAGGGAGGGAAAGTTTACTTCAAGGTCTTTTCTGCCTTACACCATTCCAACCATCTCCCTTGCATGCCACAAAGCATGCCTTAGTGCTGGATCTTCTGTAAGACAAAAAAAAGACAGTGCAAATATATGACTGATCGTCAGGCTTGTGCCTCTTGACGTTGTAGCATGCCTCTTAAATGGCCTCTGTATGCTGATTCCTGGCTGTAAGCCAAGGCTTGCTATGCATGTGTGCCAGTGTCCAGTACTTCAGCTACTTGCAAAATATAGCAGGGCTCCTAACAGAGGCAGACAGAAAAATAACTGCCACTGTGAAATCCCAGAAAGAAAAGTGACTGCAAGGCAGAGACTATATGGTTGTGAAGGCACATATCTACTTCCAAATCTAGGAGTACCCTGCAAACCTCACATCATGAGAAGCCATGTGGCCAGGGGAGAGGGGCACACCTAATTTGATGAAAGTAAACCGACGGTGTTCACACAAACCACCAGCAGTGCTTACGGACATGGTTTAGTGGAAAAACTGGTAGGGTTTGATTAATGACTGGACTTGGTGTTATAGGCTTTTTCCAATCTAAGTAATGCTATGTTCAGTGACACTGAGAGGGAGTGAAACGGGACTCATTAAAAATCCAGCAAATCCCGATGTGAGGCACAAGGTTATACATAAAGCTGCTGCTACCTGTAGGCAGCAGTGCCTGAAGAGCCACCCGCTCAAATGCGCCATCAGCATTCGTGCCCTGAGCCGGCTGCCGGTCCACTGGCCCCACTCTGCAGCCTCACTTCTCGCCACTGTTGCCGGGCCGCCCCGGGCAGGCCTACCGACAGAAGCGGGACTCGGAGCCGGTCCTCCTGGAGCCTGTTGAACGCTGGGAACGTGCTCCACGCCAAGAAGCTGCCCGGTCCGGAACCGATAGTGGCGACGAAGAGAGCCTCGTATCGGAAACGAACAGTGGGCTGCTCCAGGTACGCGCTCTGCTTCAGCCAGAAACCTGAGGGCAGAAACAGCACGAGGTTTCAGGACTGCGCCAGGCCCGGCGAGGCCGCGTGAAGTCCAGTGGCGCTCACCGTGGCTCCGATAGGCCACCAGCAGCGGCGGCACATAGGTGAGCGCCGTGATGAGCAACAGCGCCAGTGCAGCGGCGGAGCAAAACCCAGCCCGGTAGCGCGTGTACAGCGCGGGATGCGAGAACAGCTCCACGCCAGCCATGGCGAGCAGCCCTCAGTGCCCGCAAGCACCACCCGCAACAAGCCCACACTCGCACCGACCGCCCGCGCCTTCAGCGCTGCACTAGGCGGAGCGCCGGACTGACGAGACGCCGCGCCAATCAGCGCTGAGGGGGCGGGCGCATCAGCCAATGAACGCGCCCCGCTGCTTCCCGGGGCTGTCGGGGAGACAGCGCCCGGCAGCGGGATGGGGACACACGGATGGGGACACCTGCAGGGGCGATGAAGTCTGTGGAGCGGCTTCGAGTGCTCCAGGAGACTGCGGGCGGCTTCGCACCCGGCAGGTGATGTCGTGCCCAGATGCTACAGCCCCGCCCCGCGATTCCCGGCCGGAAGCGCGGGTGCTCAAGCGGTTGCCGGGGAACAGGCGAGCCGGAAGTCCCGCCTGCCGAGCCGCGGCTGTTGTTGTGACAGGGACCGTGACAGCGACAGGCCCGGCACGAGCCCCCGCCCCCCGCACACGGGCCTCGCCGCCTCTGGCTCCGCTCCCCGCCCGCCTGCACCATGAAGTGGATGTTCAAGGAGGACCACGCGCTGGGTAAGGGTGGGTCTGGGCCAGGCGCTGCCTGGCAGCGGCCCGCTGCCCTCCGTCTCCCGTGTCGCCATCTGTCGCGTTCGGCTTCCCCAGGGGGTCGTCTTGTCAGTGGGCGGACCGCCGCTGGCGGCCCTCGCCGAAGGGTAGTGCGATGCCCGGGGACGGTCTCCCCGAAAAACTAGAGACCCGCTCGGAGGCGGGAATACGATCGCGATCCCTGGAGGCTCACGGCCCTGCCGGCGCTGCCCTCTCGGCCTAGGACACCAGCAATGTAATTACTATGCAATGACTAATTACGAGTTTTGTTCACAGAGCACAGATGTGTCGAGTCCGCAAAAATCCGAGCCAAATACCCCGACCGTGTCCCGGTGAGTAGCCAAGCCGTCTTCAACTGAGTACTTACAGGCAAAGGTGGATACACTGTTTCCATCCTGCCCACTCTGATGAGTCCCTACTGAGTGAATTAATTTTCTTTTTTGTGTCCTTATATGTTTAAAGAAGCCCCAAACACATCTAACTACTCCAACATTTCCTCCTCTGCCCCAGTGCATATTGACAAATAAGCTTTCTACAAACTTTGCAGGGATTTTTATATGTCGTGGTCTTGCTTTCTTCTAATGGCACTTATATCCCAGCAAATACCTTCATTGTCTTGAAGATTGTACCTGATCTTTAGAAAGATTATGAAGACTATTGAAACCTTGACTATCTTCCATCCTGGCTAAATCAGTTAGATGAGATCCCTCATGTATTTCACACCTATAACCAGTCATCATGTTGAATTTCCCCATGCAAACCCTGTTTGAAGAGCCAATGCAAGTGGTGACTTCTGCATTAATACCTACCAATCTGCTAAATAGTGAATGAGCTCTCTTCTCTCCACAATCCCTTTTACCATGTTTCAGTCTCTAAAAAGACCACAGTTCACATTCTTAGGTAACAGCTAGCAACATGTCCACATTCTCAACTTACTTGAGTGTAAAATTCCCCACATCCCATTTGACCACGTGCCAGTTAATGCCACTCCTGCCTCTCTCCTTTTAGTAAGTAACTTTTCTATTAGCACAGCCCAGAAAAGAATTTTCATTCCCACTGACTTTCTCTGCTGCTCAGTTGCACCTAGTCACAAGATTTTCTCCAGTTGCAATCTGGCGAGCTGGTATGATCCTTGCTGTTCTCTCTTGACTAACTATTCCCTCACACATAGACTGCAGCATCCTTAATGACCATACATCTCCACAGTATCCATTTATCCATTTCAAAAATATCCTTGATAACCTTAGGGGAAAAAGAAACAAATGAAACTCATAGTGTGAGTGAGAATGACATGCTACTGCATCAGGAATGGACAGCAAGGTGTAGACAGATACAGGAATTGAATCTCAAATTGCAGCAATCCTTTGTCTGGATCAGTATGTGTTTTCTGCTTGATGATTCAAATTAAGCTGCATACCATTGACACCAAATAGTTGGTATCAATTTAACAATCAGAAGTGTTTTTCAAGCTTAATGTTTCAAGTGGAATGCAGAGCTAAGGAATGGAGACCCTGGAACCTCTTGTAAACCCCATTTCCTGACCTGCTGTATTTTTCCTTCAAGAATCAGTCTGTGTAGTACAATGAGCATCGGGTCTTTTTCACAAGCAATACTTAATTATCCTTCCTCCTGTACCTGTTGCTTTCTGTTTGGTTTTGTTTGTGGCCATCTTGCTATCTTTCCTTTCTGTAGTCAATTTCTGATTTCTGAAGCAATGACGGAATACACTAAATGTCAGCTCAGCAGAATACAAAGGTAGCCTCACCAGTACCAGTGCAGGGGCAGGATCACCTCCCAATCCTCTGCAGTCCAGGACACTATTAGCCTTACTTGTGTCCAGGGTACACTGCTGGTTCATTTTCAGCTTTGGGTCCACATTGCAGTAATTTCATATCATCAGCGTACAAAAGGTTAAGTGATGTGCGTACTTTCCTGTCACAGGTGTCTTTAAGGCATAATGCACCTTTTTACTCCATAACTGCCAAACACAGGCACAGGAAGTTTCAAGCCATTGTGTATATAAATGTAGGTTTCAGTGCAGCTGTAAAATCAGGTTTTACAGTGCTGAGCCAGTTCCATACCTCTGATTTGGTTGTGGTCAGGAAACCTTTTTGTTCATCCCCTCTACTCACTATTGTAAGCCTGTATGAGCAAGTGATCTACCAAAGCTGTCTGTTCATACCAATCCTGAACAGCCTGACCTTCACACCTGCACTTTACAGGTCATAGTGGAGAAGGTCTCAGGATCTCAGATTGTTGATATTGACAAGAGGAAGTACTTAGTTCCGTCTGACATCACCGTGGCCCAGTTCATGTGGATCATCAGGAAGAGGATTCAACTGCCATCTGAGAAGGCAATATTCCTCTTTGTAGACAAGACTGTCCCACAATCCAGGTGAGAGGCTATTCACTTGGTATTCAGAGTCATTACAGCAAGCCTGTGCATATTAGAGGGTCAGTAACACCACTCTTCAAGGCTCATTTGGTGATTTTAAGAGATGTCTGTCATATCTTAATCTCATTCAAATTTTTTTCTCATGAATTTGATAAACATCTTATTTCTTGAGCTAGGCTGAAAGGAAAGGTGATGAAAAGTATACTATACTTTACTTCCATGGCAAAAGGGTGAGCTTTGCAGTTGTGATGTTGTTGCATTTGATCGAGTGCAAAAACACGTACGTCATCAATATCAAGAAAACAATGATTCTCAGAATAACAAAAAGGCTGCACATTAAATACTCAATAGCAAATGCCATAAATTATTCTGAAAAAAAACAATAACCTGTCAGTTTACAAAGAAATTATAACATTACAAACTAGTTGCTGGTTCTTTTTTTTATTATTTTCTTCTATGAAAAAAAGAATAATTGCAATAGAAAGGTTTTTTGCATTGCTTTTATATAGGAATAAGTTTCATTGATTTCTACTACATACAGAATATAGCAGAAGCACCAACTACAACTTTCTACACCAGATACTTTAGTAGCATTTAAGGAAACAGTATGTCATTACATGCCTTAGATGTGATATTGTTCTTAATACTTAATTGTAAAAGAAAGAGTCCCTCCAGGTAACCCGATACACAATAGGGACCCGTGAGAGCCATCCTTTTCTGCTTGTTTTCTCCTAACAGTACTGAGAATGCCTGTATGTCATCTTTGTAACAGTATTGTAGAATTGCTAGGAGCATGAAAGAGAGATACATTGTCTATTCTCACATGTTCATAAGGAGATGTCACATCTCAGCTAGAAAAAAGAGGCTTTGATCATTCAATATGAATGTAAAAATGGTAACTTCTTAACCGATAAACAAAACCACAATCTGCTCATGCCTCTGCTCATCTCACAAGCTTCAGTTTATGTAATAAACTTCTGTATGAAGAGAGAAGGATGTCAAGGATTGGTGATCGATCTACTACTCACCAATTCTCTTCCATTTCAAGTACTGCTTACAAATCTTCCCAGCTCCTCTCTTGGGCAGAATGATGTTGTTGTTTTCCATGTCACATCCATCTCCATCTTTCAGTTCATTAGCCTTTTCTCAGTTTTGGGAAGTCAGAAAGGTGAGCTGAGGAGGCTTCATTTGTGCACCCAACTGATGTCTACTACTCCAACCATCTGTAGATAGATGGTTGGAGCAGTTGATCAGCCAAGTAATTGCTAGGGTTTCTTTTTGTTTTCAAAATAGAGACCGATTTCCAACAGAATAAGGAAGCATTCTGACAAAGGCATTGGTGAAGAAATATAAAAAATTTACTCTGCAGAGTCCAGGATAATTTCTCTAACTTAGGAGTCAACTGCTTTTCATTTACTCTCATTTTTTGTATTCTAACCTATACACAGACTTAGAAGTTTTGGCTTTTATTAATCCTTGTTTATATGGGGTTCTAACTGTTAACACTGACAACTTGCATGAGCCAAGTAAACCATTTATCTTTTTTTCCCTTTCAAGCTTAACTATGGGACAACTTTATGAGAAGGAAAAGGATGAGGATGGATTCTTGTATGTTGCCTACAGTGGAGAGAACACATTCGGTTTCTGAATGGTGGGTCTTGGCTACTGTACCATCCTGCTGTGTATCTTGTAAATAGCTGATCATTTTCTGTTCTGACATCCTCAGAAGTTCCTTCTATATACATGCATTTGTAACTGGATTTATTTCTTAATATATTGCTAGGTCTTGTTTTATTAGACTGTTAAATTATAAAAAGAAAGTTTTGTTAGTTTTGTGCATTTTTTTTTTCTCACGGCTATGAATTCCCAGAGCCTCAGTTCTTTGGGGGGGGATACATTTGATGACATGGATTAAATAATAAAGCAAAGTAGTTGGGCTACTAAAACATGAAGAGAAGAACACACATTTATTCTGTTTTGAGATGTCAGTTTAAGAAAAATAAAAATGATAAATTAGTTTAGGAAACACTGGATTTGCTAGCTTATCCAAAGCCAGGAGCAAGATGCTGATCGTGTTGAATTGAGCTGGTATGTTCCTTTCTCAATTAACAAACAAGTACAATAAAAATTCCTGTCACAAACAGGCAGTGCTGTAATTTCTTTACCTTCATTTTGGCCAGAAAGTTATTCATCACATTTACTAGATGCTACACAGCTGCTTATGTTACTTACTAGACATTGTACAGCTTCTCAAACTTTAGTGTGTGGCTGCTGATACCAGGAAGAAACAAGGATCTCTTTGTAGGTTTCAAAACCAATAGCTTCAGAGCTACTATATCTCACAGCTACTTACAGGCAGAGACAAACCCTTGGATTGTGTGGGAGAGGGTGGAAAAACCAGTTAATTGACCTAATTGCACAGTGCTGGAGTTTGCATTCTGATATTAAAGGATAACACTGCATTGAAGAAGTAGCATCACTTTGACCTTTCTAAGCCAGCAAGGAAATCCTAAATACAGTTTAGATTCCTATTAGAAGTT